CAGTGCATCATTTTTAACTGTCTCCTCTCTTTTTAGCTCCCATGGACCAGCGCAAAAAGCTGAAGCAAAAACTGCAAGTAGCTCTGAAAGATGCAGAGAATATGCAAAAGTAACTGCTATTTATGCTTTCTATACTGTTGTGTCCAGAGCGCTCCTGAATGCACAATCAAAAATTTTGGAGATAAAGGCCGTTGAACACAAAATAAGTAACCATTGGCATATCTTATCTGTGAAATGTCTTAGAGGTGGCCAAGGGTCCACGCAGTTTTCGACGTGGTGTGCTCATGTCTCTGCTGCAGGACAATGCTAAATCTCTGCCGCTCTGGGCTGGAAAAGTTGGAGCCTCGTAAGTTGGCGAAAGTGACAAACCTGAACCCCTTCTCTAGACCACCACCTCTGTGTGGCGCAGTAGGCACACCCAAACCGGAGGATTACGTTGTCGCAGGAGACCACGTTGCCGCCCTGGTGCCTGACCCAGAGGCACGTGGTTCCGACTCGGACACACTCGAGAGTTGGATTTTGGCCGAGATTGTTGCCTACAGCGCGGACAAAAAGGAATTTCGGGTGGACGATGTGGATGCCGAAGAGGCCAAAGTGTAAGTTAGGCCTCTTTTTCATGTCGAAGTGGTTGTTTCAACAAAGTAAAAGTTTGCCAAATCAGAAGTTAGGGAAGACAGAGGAACATGTTGGAATAGCCTTTTACTGCCAGAAAAGAGCTTTACAGGAAGCTCTGTCACGCGCTAGCAGCCAGCCGTGTCTTCAGACCAGTTGTGTCTGTCTGCGTCTGCTCTTTGGATTGCCCGACTGCAGGACGTGTCATCCGTCTCCTGCGGCCAATCAAATGAAATGACGCTCTTGATTGGCTTCGAGCTTACGCGCGTCTCAAGCACATGAATCAATCGGGAGCGTGAGGCGGACAGAACAACGTGGAGGGAAGTGTCACGCGCGAGTACCCAGGGCTTGGCAAGTGAAGGCAAGAGGAGTCAGCGCAGCGGTACTGAGCGTGGACTGCCACAGATACGATATTAAACGTCAGTGCGGGAAGTTACTCCGCAGATCACTGTTCCCACTAGCTAATGAGTCTCCCTGTACTACACGCACAAAATCCTCCAAACTGTTGACCGAATGGCCTTTAAGGTAGTTTTATTTTTGAAGACCAGTTGGCAAACGTATATACGCATACCGTTGATTCTCACTTGCCCCGTACGTTTTTTAGTATAGATAAAGAGCTGAGTGCATATCTAGATAAAGCGCAGTCAGTCGTGAAGAGTTAGAAAAAAAGAGAAAGGGAAATTTATGATGATTGTTATTTCCGGTTGAACAAGTTTGGAATTCTGCACATCTCTTCTCCAGCGAAACCCCTGTCCGACCTACGAAATGATTGTTTACCTCTTTCGAAGGCTGCCCCCTTCCCCCCTGGAATGCTG